ATACTTCGAAGAGTTTTTGCTGAGGAGAAAGGCAATGAGGTATAACCTGAAAAAACTCTGCCAGTATGAAGAGAGTAGTCTGTTGTCCCAAGTAATATGTTTTAATGAAGCTCTAATATTTTGATTCTCATTTGGACAGGTGCGAGATCTAATGGACGAATATATGAAGCGTATGATACTCTACTTGAGGCAACAGCAGGACCTGATTGCTCACACCCGGCATCTAGAATCCCAACTTAGCACTCAGCTCACAAGATTAAGGGTAATTATATACCGTAAATCCTCTAATATTGGCCTGTATTCCATTTGTCATGGTGGGTTTAGGTTCCCAACCCACATGCAGAAACACTCAGAGAGACAGATAAAAAGTTCAAAAAGTTTATTGAACAATGATTCAAAATGTGCAACTGGAAACGGGGTCGGTCCAACTGGTCTCGGGAGGGTCTCCACTAGGAGGACAGAGAGGTTAGAAGATGGTTCAGGAAAATCCAATGGTTGACTGAGGAGTGAGCTAAATACCTGCTTCGGGTGAGCAGAGCTGCAGAGGGGTTGGTACCCGGAGGGTTAGGAGGTCTGTCGGCTGGCAAAGGCTGAGGGCTAAGCAGAGACTGGTTGAGTTTTGGCAGAAATGATACCAGAAACTGGGTCCGGTCCAGTGCAGGCAGGCAGGTTCCAGAACTGAGTCAGGTTCAGTGCAGGCTTGACAGATTTCAGAACAGAGTAACTTCCTGGTTTCAGGTTTCAGACAGATCTGGTTCTGTTGGCAGAGAGAGAGAAGAACCGGATCAGGCAGGATCAAAGAATACACAAGGCAAAATCAGGCAGGTTGGCTCAGGTCTAGCTGTACCATAGCTGGCTAACACTCTGGCACTGGAGTGGAGCCCTCAGCCTCCATAAGTACTGGTCTTCTGATAAGCAGATGAGGATCAGGTGGTGCAGTCAGCTCCAGCCTCAGGAGATCCAGTACGCCATCTGGTGGAGAAAGGTGGACAGACCTCCAGATCCCAACACCATTAGCAGCCGGGTCTCTAATAATAGCCTGTCTGGCTGTCGGTGGAGGTAAATAGTGCCCGGACTCGTATACAGGCTATAATTAGAACCAACGATGTTCCTGGGCAGTCCTCAACAACTTGCGATAGTAACATACAAGTACTACAGGGGGACAGTGCCATTAGCAGTGCCGCAGACAGGAGGTTGGCTTGTTTTGTTTTTATGACCAAAATTGCAGAAAACAACTCGTGAAGTTGGACCAGCTAGAAGATCGAGGTGCGTGAGTATAACCAGCCACACAATTGTTCTGATCTGAAAGACAAATGTGATCACAGTTAGGTCATTGTTCTGAATTTCCCTTGAAATATATGATACTGGTAGCCTACTTCCACTTAGCCTGCCTCAAATAAAATTTTGCTGTGATGGCAGAACAATTTTCACACATTTTATTTTAAACTTTGCTTCGCAAGTCAGTTTTGCCAAGATTCTATTCTGTGTCTTTTTTTTCGTATTGCTGTACAGAAAAATTGGAGCTGCAAAATCTAATTTTTATTCATTCCAGTGGTACTGTCATGATGTCTTTAAGAGATCTGACCCACTGCAGGAAACCACTCAGAGAGCCAGAGTAAAAGTTTAACAGGTTTATTGAAATAAACAATAAGGTTGATCCAGGGTAACTCAGAGGGTTGGTGAACCGGAACTGGAAGTGAGAGGGGAAGTTCAGAGGTCAGTTCAGGGTCCGTGGGAACTTTCAGCAGTGTCTTGCAAAAATCAGAGATGAACGGGACTCACGTTAGCAGAAAAACTTTCTCTTCCCAGAATCCAGTCCCTGTGGGTTTATCCAGAGATTGGGGGGTTCGTTAGAGGGCGGACAGGTTTTTGGTTTGGTTGGTTCCTTGAGGAGCAATGGAGCGGACTGCCACTTAGATTTCCAGGAGAACTTGAACAGGTCGTGTGGAGATTAATCCCTTGCTCAGTGCAAAGCTCAAAACAATCCTTCGAAGGGGAGAAGGCCAAAAATCCATTTTGCAGGATGACTTTCTGCCGAAAAGGAAAAGACAAAAACAAGGTTAGAACTCAGAGAGACAAAGACTCAGTTTGATTCAGCTAAACTCAGCTTGGCTAGAGTACCCAAAACTGGCAAACACTCTGGCGACAAGGTAGTGGCAGTCCACCGCTTAAGATGCCTCAGTAATGAGCACAACCAGCCGCAGGTGTGTGGGAGGACCAACGAGAACCGCCACCTGGTGGTGGAGGAAGAGAACAAACAAAAAAAACACAGCCCATACACACTGGATTTCTAACAGGTAGTCTGTTTTGTTTAAATAGAAATAGAGGCCTGCCTCTAATTCTGGCCTCCTTCCAATAATGGCCTGTACCCCAGTGAAATAAAGTCCCGGGCCTATATTAGAGGATTTACGGATTTGATTTTTTTTAATCTTCCTTATTGGTCTCATGCTGCCTCATCAAGTCTTTCATGTCCATCCTTGTATAAAGCTTAATATTTTTCTTCTTTTTTCACTATTATTGTGTAGTTGTTTAAGTCTCCAATTTGACTGCAGGGTACCTGGCAGACATGTTCAAAAGTAATTTTTTGCAAGTCCAAGTCAAGTCTCAAGTCTTGAGAGCTCAAGTCCAAGTCAAGTCTCAAGTCTTGAGAGCCTAAGTCCAAGTCAAGTCTCAAGTCTTGAGAAGGCCTGTCACAATTATCAATTAATCGCACAATAAATTCTAATCACTTGATTAATTAAAATAGGTGCAATAATTTGCGTGCTTGCTTGTTTCTCCTTGTGTTTTCATCTCCGTCACTGAGACGGTATAGCTTAAAGGTTATTATTATATTATGGCTTTGTTGTAAAGCACTTTGGGTACCATTTGGTTATTGTAAAGGGCTATACAAATAAATTTGATTTGATTTGATCTATGGAATGATCATTATCTTGAACTGGTAAATGAAAAATACAATTAAAAAAAGCACACACGCACATTTTTTTCCAGTTAAATTCTGCATCTTTCTTTTTTTTCTTTCAAAAACAACAATTTTCTTACAGTATTTACCTGACATTTGTGGTTACAACCTTTTCTAGTGTTAGGAGTAAATGTCTGCTCTTTTATTTTTAAGTGAAAATGAGGGCTGTGGAAAAAAAACAATCACAATCCTGCCTTTTATTAATACATATGAAGTTAGCAACTACAAGAGATAAAGAAAAACCCTAAATAAATACCAGAACAATAACAATTCTTTCATAAAAGAAACATTGTGGCAATAACTTTTTGTAACTTAATGCCCTGGAACAGACAGAACCAACTTGGCGGGCAGTATTTTAAATTCAATTCAGTTTATTTATTTAGTGCCAATTCACAACATTATTCACAACATATTTCTCCTCTACGACTGCCATGAAGTTTTTAAAGCTTGGCTTGTCCATCATGCATGCATGCGCGCGGGCATATATGTCACGTAGCGTTGTCAGTGACGTCAGTGCTACGTGACTGTTTGACAGCCCTGTTTTTTTTTTTTTTTTGTTTTTTTTTTTACCTCTGCTGTGTGTGGTTAAGGCAATCAGTCAAGTTAGTAAAACAAAAAACACTTAGAAATAAAATATTGTTCACAAGTCAGAAATCACGAGTCTCAGTCGAGTCTGAAGTCCTTCAAATGCAAGTCTAAGTCGAGTCTAAAGTCATTAAATATGCGACTTAAGTGTGACTCGAGTACCAGTCACAAACTCGAGTCCCCATCTCTGGTACCTGGGTCTGAATCCTGGCTGTGTCAGGGAGGGCATCTGGTATAAAAACAGCTAATATAAGAGACTCACTCATTCACTCACTCACTCACTCACTATTTTAACCTCTGAATAAGGGAACAGCTGAAAGGAAAAACATTCTCTTAGCGTTTTTAATTTTAGGACATTGATCTGACGATCTGATCTACAGGCAATAGAAATTGGTGTTATATATTTTGCGTACAAAAAAATGAAACATGATTAGATTTACTGTACAATTATGAGATACTTGACCTGCTTACAGCTGAGCATTTACAATGTGTCTGTCTCTTATTCCGTAAAAATTCAAAAAATATCCACTGGACTTGGTTTTCAAGATTTCAAGACGTTTCGCCACCTCTCCAGGAAGCTTTCTCAATTCTCAAAGCTTCCTGGAGAGGTGGCGAAACGTCTTCAAATCTTGAAAACCAAGTCCAGTGGATATTTTTTGAATTTTTACGGAATGACTATGACCTGGATGACTGAGAACCTTCATCAGCACACAGCGTCTGTCTCTAATCCCTTAAGTATGGGTGGGCTTTACTGAATAAGCTGGCACTGAAAACTAACTAGAATATAGCTTGCCTGACTGTTTCCTTTTTGGCATTGCCATTTATCTATGACTGAGCCCCATTTCTGATAGATCTTCATGGAGCAAGTCATCTTATAGACTTGAATGCCTTCAGGTTTAGACAGAGAGAAAAACATGCAGATAACATCAAGCTTGAATAAGAGATCAGTGTATGTGGCTCACCTCTTTTTGCTCACCTGCTTGGAGGAGGATTAGAGTTTCTAACAAAGCTTCCAGACAGAAGCTGCATCTCTAAAGTGATATGTCAATAATGGTCAAGTATTTTACCTTATTTTTCTATCCTCCTAACACTGCAGGGCACCTCTATGAAAACACAAAGTTGTTGGTAGAGACACATAATGATGTTCATTCAAGGCAATGCTAATAAATATCATGCCCAGGAATTATGTTCATGTTTCTGTCTGAATTATAAGGTCCCAAAAGGGAACCTAAAAAAAATTGACACACATTGAAATAATTATTAGCATCAGATGCTAACTTCTGATGCTCAAATGCAGTTTCTGCACTGCTATTGCATTACAATAGCAATGCTTGATTCATATGCCTTGGGTTACTGTGAAGTTTTGGTTAAAGTTAGGGTTGACATGAATGCAGATACTAAATTGAACAGAAGTCAGCGTAAGTTCTTAATGTGGTTTAAAATGTGCTTCTTTCAGAACTCCATGCTGAAGGATAACCAGATGAGCACTCGGCTTCTTAACCAATGGGTGAACAGAGCTGCCTTTCACACCCAGATGTTGATCCATCTGGCTCGGTTAGAGAGGTCAGACGGAACCGTAGCAGTTAGAGCAGCTGATATTTACAACAAAGACGTCAACCGTCTTCTGGAGAAATACCAGAGTTACCTAATTGATAATCTTGAAGGAAAATATTATACTCCCGTATTTACCAACTTGGCAATTTGTTGCTTTTTCTTTGAAGAGAACAAAAGGAGAGTTATACCATCATATTTTAAATACGAACCAATTACTTGTACTGACGTGAAATATAAAATTTGCCCGAATCGCGATAGGATTAGTGAACTAGTTACAGTTATTATGTCTGAACCCCAAATTAGATGGGCAACTACTTATTTTTCAACCTTGAGCACTAATATTCCAACCCTTGTTGGCCAACATGATACATTTAGTATTTCCATGCAGTAATGAGCAGTCTTGTTTAGTACAACTACAGTGAGGTTGGAGTAGGACTAAAGAAAATGTATGTTGAAAATATCTAAAGTTTTAACAAATATATCTGAATTTGGAAGAATCTCCTAATAATAGGATCTTATCAAAGAGTTGCTGAAAACAGTTTTGACTAAGAAGATTATAACTTTGAACAAATACACCTTAGAGACTAGTAAGCAGAGTCAGTAATGATAGCGATAAACCCCTTAAAACCCACCGGGTCGACCCGTTGCCTGTCCTGGCAAAACAGGACACAAAAAATGCCTCTAACCCCTCCCTGGACCACAATGGTAGCTGATACTTCCTCTGCCTTCTGCTGCTGTTTTTGGGGATGTCCTACTCAAGGCTTAACTATAGAACATAAATAATACTACATTCCCATACATGTAGTGTATTAATATCGATTGAATATTGTTCATGAGAGTTCTGTTTTAAGGTATTCTTCATTGTAAGTATATTTTTGAGATCCTACAGAAGTAAACCCTTTTATTTGCTTTATATGCTCATTATCAAGGATGTTGTTATACTTAACATGAATAAATTCTGTTGATACTTCAAATGATTTTCCTTTTCTTACATTACTCTAACTCTCCCACTTGAATAAAGAACCAAATTGAAATAACAGTATTTCTTCCTTTTTTTTCTTTTGTCATCCATCTTGTCCTAGCACTTGTTTGATTCTGTGCTTTCAGAATCTTTATTTTTTCTTTCCATGCCTATCAATCTTATTTGACATCTTTTTACTGTCTGACAGCCTCATTGTCAGCAACCTCCATCCAATCTATTTGCAATCTCCTCTGTACCTATCTAAAAGTGACTTAACCTTAGCTCTCTAACATCCAATTAAGTCAAATGGATGTTGCTGTTCCTCGTACATGTAAAATTTTATTCCTGTTTATCCTGCCTATTCCTATAACAACAAAAAATAAGAAAACCCACTGTAATTGTGACTTATAAATCCATGGATGTTGTTAATAAATATGGGTTTCTCTTAATGGGGCTAATGTCTATCTGAAGGAAAAGTATGATTATTCGTCGTTTTTGGGGGTTCCTTTTGTTATTTTTTCCATCACTAGCCTGACGGCCTGTATGCCTGATGTAGGTGAAAGGTCCAAAATGATCTATAAAAATCAGATATTAAGATTTGAATTGCGAGATGTGACAAAGGTGGACATATGTATGTGCTGATATAAAAATTTTATTGAAAATAAAAAAGTAAAAAAAAATGAAGAAGAAAACAAATGGCTCAAAACTGACCTTCGGCATCCTAAGTTGTATACAGATTAAAACTATTCACTTCTGTACGGTGGTTGAAATAACTTCACATTATGTAACATTGGGGTAAATACACCTATATTCCACAGATTATGTTTATGTTTATGATTTAAATAAAGTAGGTGGCAAGCTGTAGTTTAAGATCAATTCAATAACCAGGAAAAAAGTGTTTAATTCCACACATAACTGGTTAAACTGACTTAACAAAACAAAAAATCTTGACTGTTCATCCCCAGATCTAGATCACACAGTAATGATGAGGGTTGAGATGAAAGAGCATAAGATTGTTAATAGGAAAGGTTTAAGCTCCATCTTGCTGCCCATTATATGCTTTAAACTTTTGAAATACCAAATAAGGCTTAGCCCCCCCTCAACAAAAAATTATTTCACCATGTAACCATTATGAGTTTACAGATTACACATTACCTCGGAAAAACCCCCCACATAAGGCTTGAATAATATTAATTTATTTCCAAACAGCATGTTTAGATTATACCATATGTCTAAATAGTTATATTACACCATTTTCACACTTCAACTCTACGTTAAGGTCATAGCTACAATAATAATTGTTTTCTAAATGTTTATAAGTGTTGATGAGTGCAAAGGATTCTGCACCGGTAGGAATAATAGGTTGAAATCACGTCAGACAGAGCTGGGATATTGCCAGTTTATTGTAGCTCTTTTATAGATAAGAGAAATGGCTTCTTCTGGGGATTAGTTTTCTCTTGCTCAGGCCAAACCAAAGCGCAACATAAATGAGGCAAGACTAAAGTGCACATCGACCAAGCTTTTGAACATTGGTGCAGACTTACAGAAAAAAGGGGTTTCAGAAGCCAAGCAGAGATTGCCGTTTTTATTTTGAATAGGTCTACTTAGGCTAACCAAAGGTTAGTATTAGCGAACCTGGCAGCAGGCTGGCAAACTGTATGGAACAAGGGTGCACGAGTGGCAGTGTGCCACTTTCTGGCCCAGAGGAGTTAAATTTGTTGCTCTCACTTTTAATGACAAACAAGGATAATTAATGAAGCCATTGTTGGACATCAACCACCACCACATCATTAATGAAGTCAGGCACTAAACTACATTGAAAACCACATGAACTTCCCCTCATAACATTCGCCCTTTATGCATACATTTTATTATCAACCATTTTTAATATAAATTTATTTCTCCTGTCACCCATTGTTATCCTTTTACCGTTTTTTTTTTCTACCTGTAAGGGCAGCTCCTTTGACAGCAGCAAAACCTCGGACACCACATCTCCCTATGTACAGTGTCTGTTTTGTCTTTTTCTTGAATGTTATATCCCGAAACTGAATTTCGCCCTACTGGTTTGCTGCTCCAGGCTGGGGGACAAATACATTTTATCTTAATCCTCATTTATTTCGGAATCAGAATCATCTACTGCTGCTGGTCAGTATGTGTAACAATTTATTAGGTTTTCCATACATTTGGTCATTATAAACTTGCTTTATCATGACAATGCCATTATTTTTCATGCAGTATTGAGTATCTTGTATCACTCATTAGATAGTTTTCAAAATCTGCCACTATACCTTTCCTAGCTTCAAATTAACTATTCAAATTTAATTAAGGATAATACAAGTTTAAAATTTCCAAAGATCTCTTAGCATAAATTCAATTAAATCTTAATTTGAGCGTCTTACCTATTAAACAGACAGATTTAAGCAGGCTGACACAGTCTATGTTTATATTAGTTTCCATTCACTGTCTTCAGTCACTATTATGGTGTCCACGTGGTTGTTTTACTATTTTGAGTAGGTAAAGCACAGGCAGAATTAAACTGCTGGGTAGAGTTAACCAAAGCACAGAAATCTCCAGAACACAAAATACACTTGTCATCAGGGGCTGAGAAGTTTTTATAATGATGGTCACCAGATACCCAAAGAAGGACAAACAGAGCACTATCATGATGGCTGCAACAGTAACGAACGCTCTTTTCCTTGTTTGGTTCACATGTTTCTTGTTCCCCAAGCTTTCCCCTGGCCCTCCATCAATAAGAGAACAGAGAACAGAAAAGCTGCACAAAAAAACAAGCACCAATGAGGAGGCCAAAAAGGAAAAAAATATGTATATAAAGAGATTAGAATCGAGAATGTTTGCTGCACAGGTAAACAAACCCGACACCAGCCAAACAGTAAGAATGACAATATTTCTGCTTGCCACACCTCGACCGTTTCGTAAACTTTGGTAGGTGATTGGATGAACAGCAGCCAGGTAACGATCCAAACAGGTGAGGACATGAAACAAGATCTCTCCTGGGAAAATGGAGCCTGTGAGGTAAACACCTGCTAAGGTTATAGCTGGAAAACCCACTGCTGACCCTAAAATCATTAAAGCTGTCCCCAGAATCCAGATCAGCTCCAGGATGCATTGGTGATAGGTAAAAACCTCAAAGTGGCTTCTTGCTTTAAATAGGCGCTGCTGACATTTCTGTTGGAGGCCGTGGCAGAGAATGAAGACTGAAACTGGAAAAAGGAGCAAAACCCTGGTGGCAATCAAGGCAGTGCCGATTAACGATCCATCAGTGTTGTTGGCACAGCGGGACTGTGAGGAATCAAAGGAAGAGTTTGGAGGAAGAGGCAAAGACATTTTGGTTCTCTGGTAAGATGACTGATTCCTGTAAAGAAATAACACCAACATGTAAAGTTGGGAATGCAACTACTCTGAAAGTTTCATGAATATTTAGAGCTTGTAATTCTAAGAAATACAAGCATGCCCTCGAAAAATATAGTTCTGAAAGTTACTGTAGAGTCCTATTTTCTCATTTTTGTTAACACCTGAAAATGAACACTTATTCCTTTAGATAAACTAGAAATGAAAAAACTGAGAACAGAACAGAACTCATTTTAAAAAGCAGTATTACTCCATTTGCAAGAATTTTGTTTTTATTTAAGAGAAGATTGAAATAAGAGGATCAGATAAAAAGACTTGTCTGTTCGGCTTTAGGATGTTTGGGATGAATGGGACATTTTTTAAAAGGGGGTATGGGATATGCTAAACAGATGAAGCCGACAAAAGAAATTCCTTCCAATTTGCTTTATATAGCAGCTACACTATAAAAAATCTATATCTAGATTAGTCATTTTTTCTTAAAATAAGTGCATTTGTTCTTGAATTGAGAAGGTAAAATAGACATTTTGCCAATAAAACAAGACAATTTACATTTAAAATAAGAAAACACAATTGCATTGTCTTATTTCATGTGCAATTTATCTAAATATCTTATTTTAAGAGTAAAAATATTCATTCCATTGGCAAACTATTTCATTTACCTACTCAAATTAAGAGTAAATACATTTAATTTAAGAATTTTTTTTACTTAATTCTAGATCGTTTTTCCAGTATAAGACTCTATAGATCACATGAAAAGAGAACAAATATGTAATTGTTCTTAAAACTTTTCCCCCCCTGTTTCTTTTGAAACATGTTTTATTGTAAACATAAGCTTGATGGTCAATAATGAGCGACCATATAATAATAATGTTCTACTAATTTATTTTGGTGCTTTTAAATAAGCTTTAAGGTTTTAAACATTATGCTGTCCAGTATTTTGGATACTTTGTACTTTATTCATATGCTATTCAGTTTAATTCAATTCACTTTATCTATACTGAATAAAATAAAGATCCAGTATGTATATTAAATCTACTATTATGCATAATTCTATAATGTATAATTGTTTAAAAAGATAGTCATTAGTCATTAGTGGAAAATAAACCCACCTTGCATGTAGGGATTGTATCCTCTCACTCTTCTGTCCTTTAAAATGCTGTCACTAACATCAGCTACCCAGACTTTAAAAACTACTTATTGTTTTGACAAGCATGATTCAAATTGCTGATGTGACGAGACGATAAATAATAAAGGTTAAGCTGTTTTGCATGACTGGATTGACTACAATAAAATAATCACAGGGAAATGTTTTGGGCTTTTCTTTTTTCCCCAAGTTCCTATCTCACACATGGAGATTATAGGCAGTTTCACGATAAAGCAGGCTTTTTGGGAAGTTTTTATTGCTATCCTTGTCTCTGATCTGGAAGATCACTTTTTGTTTGTCTGTTTTGTGCATTTAACTTTCAGTGGTGATTAGTGTTCAGAGTGTGGATGAAGGAGTTTAATTTGTTAACTGTGGTTCATGATCTCCCAGATGTTACATATTAGGCTTTTTGTTGTTTCTGGTAGAGAGAGAAAGATGCAATTAGAAGAGTTTTATTGATACAATAGTTTGAACTTTGGCGCTCAGGCCTCGGCAGGAAACATAAACGCTGATTTATACTTTAATGCAGATAAACTGATGTATGAGAATATGGATATTTCCCCCAGGCCTGTTGAAGAGCAGGCCGAGAGATGATTTGGAGTGGCTTTTAAGTTGAGTGCTGGAAGATGATTGGGAATCGAGGAAATGTAGCTTGAAGCGGATTGGCTGCATCGGAGGCGGATCAGCCTCAGATTGAATGGAAGTAATCAGAGTTTCTTCAGTTGAATTTTCGCCTTAGCTTCATATTAGGCTTTTGGTTGTTTCTGGTATTTCTGGAAAGGTTCATGTCCCCATTTGGCCATGTGAATTTTGGCATAGGCACGGCAGAATGTTCTCCCTATCGCTGTTCCTTTAAATTATAGGAACCGCCGTTCATCAAAAAAGACGCCTTTCCTTTCCAGATTCAGTCTAGCAGGTTCCAGGGTCTCTGTGTCTGGTCTGGAGGTGTCAGGGTTGTTTTGGAGGCATTCCTTAATTACCTTCAGGCCAATTTCTGTTTCAGCGTGGGTGTAGAGCCTCTCTACATCCATTGTGAACAGGAGGCTGCTCTGTTTGGTGTGGTATCATGCCACCCTGCCTTTAATGAAGCTGGGGTGTTTGAAGAAAAGGGAATTAGAATATTAGTCTACCTTTGGAATTTGGTGGGGTTTTGGCCCATTTGGAAGCGTCCTTATGGATTTTGAGTGGCAGATACTGTAGAAGTACCTGGTTTCTGCTGTACTTCTAATCTTGTCAGGACTCTTGTCTTTGTGTTTGTGTTTCTGTGTTTGTCTCCCTTCATCCACCAGGAGGCGCCTGGTTCTGGTCCACCTCCTCACACACCTGCTGATGGTTTCCTCGTTAACGGAGTGTTTTTAAGCTGCTGACTGCCACTACCTCGACGCCAGGGTGTTTGCCAGTTCAGGGTACTCTAGCCAAGCTGAGTTTTGCTGAGTCAAATTTAGTTTTTGTCAACCTGAGTTTAACTTAGTTTTTTGTCTTTGCCTCTCGGCAGGAAGTCATCCTGCAAACTGGATTTCTCAGACCTTCTCTCCCTGGAAGGATCAACTGAGCTTCAAACTGAGCTGGGGTTCAAACAGGAGGTTTGGATCCACTTTCCCCAAGAGATTGTTTGAGCTTCGCACTGAGAAAGGGATTAATCTCCTCTACGACCCGTTCAAGTACCGCAGGAAATCTGAGTGGCAGTCAGTTTCTCCGTTCACCTACTAACAACCGCATTCTGGGTAAACCCTGTTCCGCCCTCCACCGAATCAAACAATGGAACTACAGCATTCAGACTGGAGTCAAGGATTGAACTACCTCTCTGGAAATGTGAGTCAGCAACTAAATCCTCTTCTCCAAGTTTACGAGTCAAATTCCCCACTGAGCCTGAACTAATGCTGTGTCTTCCCTTCACTTTTCAGTTCCGGTTCAGCAGTGTTCAGAGCAACACTTCTCTCTCTGTTTTACCTCTTCAATAAAACCTGTTACACCTTTTCCCTGGTCTCCCTGTTCGGTTTTCTGCATTTGGGTCTGAACTTTGTAAAATCATGACAAGTCTGAGGTGACGTAGGTCCCTTTGATTCTGATGTATTAGTTGAAAAATTAAAGGATGCATTTTATTGGCTGTTCCCGCTGGGAAGGTGAAGCGAACGGTGGTGGTTCCTGGTCCTAAGATTGAGCTTTGAAGAAATAAGCTAGTTTCAGTTTCCTGTGGTATTGTTGCAGCTCTATCTTACGTGTTTCCCGAACAGTTGTGATTCTGTTGGCTGCTGGAACAAATAAGACACCTTTTTCTAAGACATACTGTGACAGCCTGCTGTCACACTCTGAAGCTGTGTGGTAACTTTTACATTTTTCATTTTCAAAATCAGTTGCACATTTCATATATTTTCATTAGCCTGACTTTAAGTTAACTTTTTGCAGTGCACACATTTAGTTAACTTTATTTGTCAGGTTGTTGTTTCATCAAGAAGCAATTGATTAATTTCTTTCTTCTTTGAGTTGCCAGTTTCCTTGGGATCTGCTGGTGGAGGGCTGCAATGAGCTCCAGCTTTCCTCAATTGGTTGCAGCGGATCAAACCATTTGTAATGGGAAGGGAAATTTGTTTATCATTTGTTTAAATATTCTTAGTTTGGGCAACTTTATAAATTAGTTAAATTTAAAAAGTATTTAGTGTCTGGCCAGTATTTATCTGTTTACATAAGTTGTATTAGTTTGTTAGTCAGTTACTCCCCTTGTGTGTCAACAGTAGTCTGATCAGCGACTATATAAGTTTCCCTCATTTCCTGTTTGTTAGGTCAGTTTGTGCTTGAGTTCTTTAAGTTAAAGCCTGGATTGAATTCTGTTTTGTTGACCTCTTTTTGGACCCGGTTTATCATTTTCTTGAACATTTTTGGAATAAATTAAGACTTTTTTTTTTTTTTTCAGTGGTTTTCTGGCTGGTTTGTGCAAATCCGTCACACATAACTTTTTTGAGTGTTAGACTGGTAAAGAAGTTGGGGACTCTGTTTGATCTAGTTAAATTGATCCTGTAAAGTGCCTTGAGATGACATGTGTTTTGCATTGGTGCTATGAACTCTGTCTGAAGATAAGCTGTGGGACATCACTGTGTTCTTTGATGTCTCCAGTGGATTTAATGTGATTCAGTCTTACTTAAACTCTGGAAAACTCAGGTGAAGGGATCAACAATTGCATAGATCAAAGTTTAGCTGACAAACAGACCACCGTTTCTGAAATTGAAGGAATAAACGTCTAATCAAGTAGTTAACACCACAGGAGCATGATGGGGATAGTATTGTCCACCATCCCTTTTTACTCTGAACACCTTGGACCTTCAGTACCAGACTGACTCCTGTTTGCAGCAAGATGCTCTATAGCTTCTATAAGTTTGAAAGTGTTATCTGTTTTACCATTCCCTGCTGGGGTAACAGCATCAGAGCAAATCAATTAAAAAAGCTCAACAAAAGAAAACACCATTTATATTGAGAAAATAAATCAGCCAAAAATAATGAAGGTTTTATATTCTATTAGTGCAACACAGAGGTTGGGTATCACTGCTCTATGCCACAGATAAAGCAACATCCAATTTAATGGTGGCTCAGAGGGTAGAGTCTTATCCGCAAATCAATGAGTTGCCAGTCTAAGCCACTGCTCTGCCTGGCTTTATTGATCTAATCCTGACCAAGACACTTCAACTGGTTTGCTTTTGATGGTCAATAACAC